GGATTGGAAACTCTCCACTCAAAGGCTCATATCATTGGGGGGGGGGGGGGAACACATACACTCTTACAAAAAGCAAACTTTAAAATTTCATGGTATTAAAAGTTCTCTAGTATTCTATCCATTGCAGCATGAATATCCTAATTAGCCTTCACTTTTCCTTAAAGTTACCGTTCTTGAAGGATAAGATTACTATAATGAAGGTTATGCTCTAAAATATACTTTTGTTTGGAAGGTTAACGTAGCAATAGACCATGATGCAACATTTGGCCATTATTGTATCCAAACGTGAAGTGTTCCTATTTATGCCCCATTTTAGATTACAGGAGGTCTTTGACTTACCACCAGTCATTTAACAACTAGTCAAAGTTACGACAGACTCCTCAGAGCTACTTACAACATGTTTTTGGAGTTATGACAGTTGCACACCCTCCCATTTGGTGAGCTCCGCAACTGGCTCACTGTTACAGACGTTTGCAGCATCCTGCAAATGACTACAATTTGAGGGGGGGGGGGTTTGCCAGGTTTTAGCATTTATTTCCAGTTTCTGACACAAAAAAAGCCTCTTAGGCCAGGGAAAATGGATTTGCTTAACAATTATCATAGTCACTTAGAAACTGCTGTGGTTGCTTAACAACTGTCATTAAGAAAGTCATTGCAACTTTGAATTTTGTCACGTGATACCTCGACTTATGACTCTAACTACTTATGACCAAAATCCCAGGCTCATTTATAATCATAAGTCAAGGACTGTAAAAACAAGGAACAATCATTCTTTCCTTTTTTTTTCCAAATCTGATATCCTACATACATGGTGGACTCTAAATATAATTAAATTATATTAATTAATATAATTAAATATATATTAATTATATTTAAAATATAGTTAAAATTATACTCCCCAAAGGCAGCTATAATCTTCTCAGTCAATTCTATTAAATCCATTGTTTCATTTTTCCAAAATGAAAAGGGAAAGAATTCAATGTTACCTTGTCTTCAATGTCTACTTGTATGGCCCCATTGTGAGCCAGCTGGTCACTGATATTGTTACCTGAGATTACGTCCATAAGAATGTTCTGGTTCTTTACTGCCTGGATAAAATTGTCAATTTTTTCACCTAGAAAATAAAACAAAGGAGGACAAGATAAATTTATGGGGTATTTACTTTCCAAACAAAGAAAAGAGTACTAAATAATCAACAATACAATATTTAAATATAATCTTATATCTAATATTCAATTCACATTTAATTGTAGATTAGGATGGATAACTCTGATGCTCTACCTTTCTCAAACTCTAAATCTGTCTGTCTGTCTAGCTAGCTAGCTAGCTAGTGAGATTTTGGAAGTAATTACAAAGAATCCTTGCCATGGAAAAATGTTTTTGTTCTGAAATCTTTAAAAAAAAGTCTTTAAAAATTGGGCACTAGAGGCAACTAGAAGGAACTAAAGATTACAAGTAATGGAGGAGACTACTCAAATCTGACTTATAGATACCGAGTAAATCAAGCTATTTTAACATTGGAAATATTGAATCATATTTTTGAACAATGGACCCAGAAATCATTTTATTAAGAATGTCTGCCTCTATAGATAGACTGTGATGTAAAAGATGTTATGGAAGAGGCACAAGTTTTACCTGACAAGACTGACACTGATTTGAAAGTTTATTTTAAAACAACCAGCTATAAAAATGATTAAAAAAATATGTCATATTGGACATAAAAAAGAAGCTGGCAAATGTCTTAATAAATAAAAGCACTGCACAAATAACAAAGCAAGAGAGTGGCTTGAATAATTTTCCTAAATTGGATTTACAAAAGAGGCTTGTTAAAGCTTTGAAAAATTTTGTAAGAAGGAACAAAAAAGAAGAAGAAAAGAAATGAAGTTCTAGGACATTACTTGAAGGGAAAGTTCAAAATAGTCAGAACTAAAAGGAATGAATATAAAGTTGGTTTATTTGATCAAGGTTAAAGTATGTTATTATCTCGGATAACCCTTAATGGAGTTTTGGTGATCAGGGCTGAAACGAAGTTTTAACGATTTGTTTATAGATAAGTGATGAGATATAGGAAGAAAAGAACATTTGTTGTACTTCAGTAGATGGTGAATTGTTTCTTTTTCTATTATTTCTTTTCTTTGGTTTATTTCTTATTAGTTTTTATCGTTGCATTTGTAATTTGTAATATAAATACTATGAAAAAAAGAACATTATATTCTTCGCCCTTACCTGTGTTGTTAAGGATCAGAAGTCCAGATTTTTCCTTGAAATGCCACTTTCCTGGCTGAAAGTATAACCCAGGATGAAGCTCTGCATAATGCATGGTCAACGAAACAGCAAAGGAAGCAGTTTGAAATATATAAGGTAATAAAATGATTCCAGAAATTAGTAAACTGTAACAAAAGAGAAACACAGATTAAGCATAACAGAGATGTGACACCCAACTAGTGTCATTCTACTTAATTTATTAAGCTAGTGAGAGCAACATTATTTAGAGGAAAAGTGATCTTTATTAATTCCCCTAAGTTTTGAACCACTGAGGAAAACAAATTGCAGTTCTATCTATTTAAAAATCCTATTTTTTTTTTTAAATTGCTTACTGTATATGAAACAAATGGCATCCTGGTAATACAAAACAAAGCAGGTCTTTCCCAACCCATAATTTTGTGTGTTTTATAGTTTTATAATATCTTTATATGAGGAAAAGTAGATGTACTTTTCTAATAAAATTTATAATTAGTTAACGAATAACATGGACAGAGCAACTTCACAGGATCAAAAATTCCATTGACAAAATCTGATATTTTCAGAGTGAAATCGGAGTATAGCAAGATTTGTTTGCACAAATATCCAGGGGATCATCCGTGCCCTCTCTCTAATTTGTCTTCATCCTTGGAGAAGAAATATTTTATATCCTTGGACCCTTTAATGATCATTAAGAGAGAGGGAAGGAGAGGGGGAGAGGGAGAATGAGAGAGATAGAGGGAGGGATGGAAGAAGGGAGGGATGGAGGGAGAGAGAGAAAGGGAGACAAAAGAAAGAGGAAGGGAGGGAGATTATCTTTAGAGAGGTAATCCTCAAATTACAACAGTTCACTTAGTGACCATTCAAAGTTATGACATAACCCCCCCCCAAGTACTTACGACAGTCCCAAAGTTACGAATGTTGCAGCTCCATGGCAGTCATTCACCCTTACGAATGCCCGCAGAGGCACTGCAACATTCGCCCTGCCTATTTCCCACCCCCTGCTGGGTCTCCACAGGCACTGGGCCTGTGGACACTCACTTTGCAAAGATCTAGCGAACTTTCAGTTTCTTGGCCTGCTTCAGTGCTTCAGGCCTTTGATCGCGCTACTGATCTCACATGATCTCATGGTACTTTAGGCCTCTGCTCTCTGCAAACAGAGGCCTGGACAAGATCTGCCGCAAAAGGCTTTGCAAATGGAGGGAAGGCCTGAAGCACCAAAGCCTTCCCTCCATTTGCAAAGCCTTTTGCCATCTTTGCAAAAAGCCTTTGCCACCGAGAACGGAAGCCGGGAAGGGCATGTGCATCCTTGAGGAAAGGCCTTTGCTGCCGTAAACAGAGACCCAGAGGGACATGCACACTCCTCCCAGCCTTCGTTCTCGGCAGCAAAGGCTTTTTGCAAAGATGACTGGAGCCTATAAGGACACAATCTCTCATCCCTGCAGGCCTCGGCAAGCCTTTGTTCAAGGCAAAACTGCAGCAGAGGCGGGAGAGGAGACAGCTCCCTTGATCGTTGAGATTTATGAAAGTTAAGTGACCCAGTTGGGCAGGATGGGGGGGAGGGGGAAGCATGAGATATCTCAGTGGGTTGGGGGAGGCCTTGCATGGTTGGAAGCACTAGGCCCCCCCCATGGACTTCCCCACCCTGAGATACCTCATGCCCTTAATGATCTGTGCATTCAATTAGCAAATGCATGGGCAAAAGCAGGGAGTGATCATGTTCAAGTTATATGATTCAGTCCTACGAATCCTTGGGTTATGAATGTAATTGGCAGGCTCCATTACACTTGTAACTTGAGGATTACCTGTATTTTGTTCAAGATTCATGCAGACAGATTTTCACGTCAATCATGGCATATATTTTGGCCCTTATTCCATAAGAAGATTGTACATTCAACATGCTTCAAATATAATTAATAAATCACTCACAGGGCTCCCCAGATTTTGCATTCCCTCTTGAGATTTAAAAAGTGCATTCTTGCAATGGCATAAACTTGTTGTCTCCAGAGTCCTAAGCCCTTCATTGTCACTTTCCCCATCTCTGACAGCAACAGCAGATTCTGTTCCATTTCATCCTTTCCTGGTTCTTCTCCTTCCCCTTCATAACGGACTCCATAATCTAAGGTAAGTTTCAAAAATATCTTTCAGTATGCTTATTTCAGTTGAAGAAAGTCTTCGTTTTCTAACCTTCATCCCTCTCTATTCCATTCTAGCTTCTGACACCCAAATCTCTTCATTACACTTTGCTATATCTCTTCAATTATTACCCTAAAGTACTTCTAGCAGAAGATATTCCAAATACTTTACCGGAATTTTTTTCATTTCCTTCTTGTTTAAGGAAGACATCTTCCAGAGTTGTCATAGTAACTCCATAGTCAAGTATTCCTAGATCTGTCTGTTGATCACTTTCACTGAACAAATCTGAGTGGACAAAAACAAATCATATGTTTGACTTTGATTTGTCTATTATAGGTCCTTTGGCATATAATAGAAAGCAAGTTAAATTCAGATGACTTCAACTATATGGGCTCTTTCAGAAAACAGTGACTAAATTTATTTTTATTTACTCGATAATTACCTGGAAATTTATTCACGTGTTCTGAAGGCAGGATGTATCTCAGCTCATTTTCATGTTGTCCTGATAATTTCACCGAAGGAATGTAGTGCTTAACCAGTGACGTTGTTCTTTCAGAATCACAAATTTCATTTATATACATCCTGTTCATGTTAAACAAACATTTGGGCAGACAGCAATGGCTAAGAGTTGCATTTTTTCCCAGTAAACCCTTGAATTTATGGACTTCATTTTTATTTTCATTTATTATTTTCTTTTTGTTAAAACCTTATGTAAGTCATCCATAATCACAAACTGCAAGATGGGCAATCATATAAATTATTTAAATACATACATGCACATATAAAATACATGCTTCTAATATGCAAAATTATATAAAATATCAATGCATAAAAATATTCTGGTTTAATGGACATTCAGCTTTAATGTCTATCATTTTTCCCCCCAAATTGCCTAAACTGAGAGGTTTCTATATTTGAGAAAATCATTTAAGAAAGAATCTGTTAATTTCTGACCAAGTTCAATCATTTAAAGTTGGCTAAATTTAAATCTAGTATTTAATTTCTTTCAACATTTATCCTGTAGCTATGAAACACATAATGTGATATTATGTTTTTGATATTTTATCTAAATCTCCCCGCTCATTCATAGAACTATCATTATTACATTAGATCACATTTCATTAAATACCCTTTTGTATAACTGCATCCTAACTATATAGCTAAATGTCATCTTCCAGCGCCCCTTATTACTAATCATGCAGGTTAAGATTGCTTGGAGTTTTGGTTTGGCAACTTCTATAAGATCCCATATTAAACAGAAAATTGCTAAATTTATAGCAGATTTATAAATATTTCAGTTCCTCGCTCAAACTAAAAATGTCTTTGTAGATCTACTGAATTTGTCGATTTGTTTATTTTTAGATTTATATATTCCTCAATTACCCTTTTGTCTTCAAACTTTAATAGGAATTTATAGATTCTAAGAATATTGGTATCCTCAGTGAGGGCCACTTGCACTTGTTCAATTCAGGAATTCATGAGCACCACGGCAGTAATTACTGACTAGATCCCAAATTCTGTCTGCCTCAGTCATCAAGCAGGATTCTTCCTGGATTTGGAGGTTTTACTTAAATAAGCTGAAGCTGCTCTTTGTGCTGTTTTTACTTTTTGTAGCACTTTTCTTCCTTTATTCATTTAATTATTTTAATGGCTAATCAATAAGTGCCTTGAGAATTCCATTTTGCAAATGGAAAAGGGTGAATGAATAATTGCAGGAATTAATGAACGTTAAGTTAACCAAGACTGCATCGGATTGATAGGAAACATTCCACAATTGCCAAGCAAATAAAATGCCATGTTGTCATAGTCCTAGTACCTTAAATGATAGCCAATTCCCCATTTTTTCTTCAAGAACAGAGATGAGCCAACACAATTCAGCTTGCCATGTGAGAGAATAGCTTTGCGATCTAGAGAAACAGCAAGCAATAGCATTTTTGTTGTTATCTGTTTAGCAATACAAAGCCCTCTACGCCAAATTCCAATTGTCAACGAATGGGTGTTTTAGAAAAGTGAGTCAGCAAAAGAAACCCAACAAATACTTTGACATCAATTAGTCCTTATGATAAGCATATGCATTGTAATTGGTTTTATTACTATATAACAGTAGATTTGTTCCCTTGCAATAGGATAAGCTTACATAATGTATGTACGACTACAATATCCCATATTCCAAATCTCTGCTCCAGTACTATGATCACTGAGTGGTCCCAGCTAAACTACAATCAGTCGAGGCTAACTCTTTTTTTTTGTTCAAACTTTTATTGGGTTATCAAAATATAAAATACAAAGAAAAATTCAAAAAAAATAATAGAAAAGTAGGAGGAGGGAGAGGAAAAGGAAAAAAAGATATAGTGTAAAGAGGGAAAAAGAAAGAAAAAGGCACCAACTTCCGACACTCTTTAACACAGTGGAAGGTAACAACATTACAACCACAACTTTTTACTTTTACACAGCAGTACGTACAAATCATTTCTATAACAATAAACCTATCTAATTAGCAAAAATAAAATCAAAGTTTCATTTCTTTTTTCATTACAGGCACAAAATCCAGAAGCAATTTCAATGTATTCTCTTTTTTGGATAAAATAATCAATTTGACCATCTCTGCTTCCCTTTGCTGTGGGGAATAGTATATGCTTTTGTTAACTCATTAATCTTTATCACAATTCATATTTAAAAAATCTTCTATATTATTTTATTTTTTGTTTAACCCTAAAGGGAGAAAACACTTTTTCTAATTTTGATATTTTACTAACTTTAAAAAATATTCAAGTAACCCCTTCATTTTAAACCCAGAACCCAAAACACAATACTACATTAGAGCTTTCATTCAAATATATATACAGTATATCACACCCATATAAGCCCAATTAACTCCAATTAGCTCATTGAATTCAAATCTCTCCCTTGAGTTTATCCTCATGGAGTAAATCTTTTTCTTCTCTTATTTTCAAATTTAATCAATAGTATTTTACAAACTTTGGGAATTATTCAGCATTACATAAAAAGACAGAAGACATACATTTACAAACTCATTTTATACGTACAAAACTGCCTTAAAGCTTTTTTTCAATACATATATCAAACTTAAAAATCCATCCTAATTAATTAAGTCATTAAATTTAAGTCACTCCCTCCAGCTTATCTTCATAAAATGAAATCTTTTTGTTCTCAGGAGTGTCTATCAGGCCTCTTTTCTTCAAGAAATTCTCAGCCTAACTCTTGAGATTGAATTTGTTTCCCAATGTAAAATGCTTCTTAGTAGGAAATTATGAAAAATTATAGTAATTTGTTCATTAGACTCTGAAACTGTACCCTGTTTGGATGAAAATGCTTGCAAAGACTCAGAAGAGAGAACACCTCAATCATTATGCTATAAATGAATGCAAAGAAAGAATAGCTGATGGAATGCAAGGAAGAAAGAATGAAGGGGACAATGGCAGTGGGTAGATAGAAGATAGTAAAAAGTGAAGAGTAAGCTTAGTGTGGAAAATAAAAACATCACATCGAATTCATTAAACAACATTCATTAAATAGCACTAGCAATAGCACTTAGACTTATATACTGCTTCATAATGCGTTACAGTCCTCTCTAAGCGGTTTACAGAGTCAACATATTGCCCCCCAAAATCTGGGTCCTCATTTTACTCATCTCAGAAGGATGGAAGGCTGAGTCAACCTTGAGCCAGTCAGGATCGAACTGCTGGTTGTGGGCAGAGTTAGCGGCAATACTGCATTCTAACCACTGTGCCACCACGGCTCTTAGAAATAGAAGTAGAAGATTTAGCATCCAACGTTTTATTGGGGCTTCAGAATGCATAAAGTGGGCCCCAAGCTTATGGAACACTGAACATTTTCAGTGTAGTATGGAAAGATGCTTAGTATGCTAAATGAAGCAGTTCTCTATGCAGTTCAAAGGAATTTTGTTCTACTAAATAGAAACAAAAAGAGATCTGACAACATACACAGAAGTAACATTACAATATACCTGTATTCCTCTTACTTTATGTTTCTTCCTATATTGTAAATTGCTTTATTATAAAAAAAAATCTACTCACCAGAAAGGATATCAGCTTCATCCATGAACTGGGTGGTGAACAGAATGACTCGACCTGCTTTTTGCTCATTTAGGAGAGTCCATACCTGGTGTCTAGAATAAGGATCCAATCCTGCAGTTGGCTCATCTAGTAATAATACCTGCAGGTGAGAAGTACAAAAAGTACATATTTTAATCCAATCATATTGAGAAATGAATGGGAGAGAGAAATTATGCTATCAGGTTTAGAGAAACCTGAATAGGTTTGAACTAAAGAATGGTTTGTACACGTAGAAAATTCAAGGTTGTATACTTCAAAGGTAGTATATGAGTACACAAAGGTATTTCAATATCGCTGGCAAATCCAAATAATCCGAAGCACCTGATTGATTGAAAAGTGCAACAACAAACATGCATTTAAAATTAATGATTTGTATGCCAAGAAAGTGTTATTTGAAAGGAGAAATTAAATGCAAGCTGACATTAAAATGGCTATAACGGCATATTATTCATATTAGAGCAAGTAGATGACTATGTACTGTTTCCCGTGCTAGAAAGCATGTATGCAGTGAAACAAAAATTAGAATCAAGAATGAATATAAAGAATATAAATATAAATGATGGGTATGTTGAAGTGGTTTGGTCACAGAAAGAGAACTAATAATCATCTAATTTCAAGACAAATGTGAGAGAAGAGTGAAAGGGTCCAGAGCATGAAAAAGACAGAGAAGAAACTAATAACATCCTCAAAAGGACAGAATGAAATGTTTAAAAACTACTGTAACACAAAACCATGTATGAAGCACTATATACAGACAGAAGTAAGAATGGTTTGCAAGGACAGAAAAACATGGAGAAATACAGCGAGTGGTGATCTAAATTAGTTTGAGCTACATTTCTTTCTTTTTTTCCTATGTTGTTCCTTATTTTCTTTGGCTTTTCTTTTCTTTTCTTTACTCTGTTTAATATTGTTTAGCCTAAGGAGGAAACAGCATGATGGGCCTACTAGTAGTCTTTGACTTACAACCATTTGTTTAGTGACAATTCAAAGACACAATGGCACTGAAAAAAGTGACTTATGACTATTTTTCACACTTAATGACCTAATGACTTAGCATCCCTGTGGTCACATGATCAATATTTGAGCACTTGGCAAAAGGCTCATGTTTATGACGGTTGCAGTGTCCTGGGGTCATGTAATCACCTTTTGCGATCTTCTGACAAGCAAAGTCAATGTGGAAGCCAGATTCACTTAACAACTGTGTTACTAACTTAACAACTGCAGATGTGTGGCAAGATATGTCATAAAATGGAGCAAAATTCACTTAACAACTCTCTTGCGTAGCAGTGGAAAGTTTGGGTTCAATTGTGCTCGTAAATTGAGGACTACCTATATATTATATACAAGTGTATATAATATTAAGAAATATCATTCAGGATAGATGTTCAATCATTCTTTATGATTAAATGAGAACATTGCAAATTCATTGAGTTTAGAATAACATTTATGAAATCTAATTTTTGGCAACTAAAATGAAATCAACCCAGATGTGAACATTTCACTTTGCACAAAAAGATCAAGCACGTTTTCAGAAACGTTTGAGAATAGAATTGAATTTTTCAAAGAAATAAAGCCAGAGAAAGGTATACTAAATCTGTTAAGTCCGGAGAATAATGGCACTTGAGACGAAGCATTTCTAACAAGTCTTTATTCTCTGCTTCCAATCTACGAACAACGACAAGCCCAGAGGCGCGCAAGCCTCTATATATACCCTCCGATCCCCGGGCAATTCCAACCAATCACAAGGCAGTCCTTTCCCGCCTTGCGCATGTGCGCAAGGCCGGCGCCGCTCAG